TCACGAGCATGACGTCACAAGATGGCCGCCGCTAACAGTTTTTCGTAAATATCGAGAGATATAGAGCTCGAATCGAAAATTCACAACCGAAGCCCAGTAGATAAGACACGTACAAAGACGGTTATGTCAAGATTATGTCAAGGTTATGTTATATACCTGACGGTTGAGCTCGCTGTGGTGCAGCTTGTTGGTTGGAAGAGAACTGTGACGCTAGTAGTGAAAAATATCGGAAGCTCGGGGTTGGTGCTTCGGTCTATCAACTACTCCTGTGTCTTAATTAACTAAGAAATCAACTGAAAATACACTCCATTGCCTTTGTACGTGCCTTAGGAGTCCGCGGGGCTGTTACGAGAGTCACAGACAGTAAGCAGCATCCTCTCCCTGGTCCCCGCCACAAGTACTACCCTACCCTGGGGGGAAACTAAGTCTGTCCTGTGTGCGACAGGACAGGCAGGCCAGGACGAATTCCCAACCCCCTACCTCCCATCCCATTTCCTAGGTCTTCGTTTAGTGAGCGCGAGGCGTTGGGTCGCGAGTTCGCCTCCCCTTGGTTCCCCGTGGGCGCGAGCGGTGGTTAAATTTGGTTGTGTATGCCGTAGAGACACGGAAATACATCCAGTCACCTTCGTAATGGCCGGATTAATACTAAATGACTTCGTGTGAATAATCTGCCGGAAAAACCCTTTTAACAGATCGTATCGCAGAAGCCGAAGGTCGAGTAATTCTCAATATTGGGGCACTGCACAATACCGTTTGTACAGTTATTCTCGTGACGATAAACGCCAAGCGATAAAACTGCATTGGTTATGGAATGTAGTAGATATATAAGTATGTTTCTGCAATCAATGGCGAGGGGAAGGCTGAGACGGAGGGGTAAAGAGAAGGAAGCGTCATCGTGAGCGGCACGCGTCGTGTGGAGGGGGGGAAGTCACCGATATGGAGTTTTGCGGTTTTGCATCCGGTGAGGTTCTCGGATGCCTTACCCGGAAGTTGTTTATCTTGCGAAGCGATATCGGGGATTTTGAATTAATATTGTAGAGAGCGAGAGAGATGGATGCATTGCAGTGGTTGTTCTCTCTCTTGCAAACGATGTGAATTTTCTCGCGCGTTGGGGAAGTGTTAGGCGCCATGCATATAGAAGTTTGTGGTTTTGTATCCGGAGAGGCTCTCGGATGCCTTACCCGGGGAAGTCGCTTGCGAAGCGATATCGAGGATTTTGATATAATATTGTAGAGAGCGAGAGAGAGGGATGCAGCGGTTGTTCTCTCTCTTGCAAACGAAGTGGAATTTTTCGCGCGTTGGGGAAGTGCTAGACGCGAGGCATCTATAGAAGTTTGTGGTTTTGTATCCGGAGAAACTCGCGGATGTTTTATCCGTAGAATTTGGTCTCATTAAGATTTATTAATGTAAGGTTTTTTATCTCGGTATAATATTGTAGAGAGCGAGAGAGAGGGATACGTTGTAGCAGTTTTTTCTCTTGCACCGCATTCTCTTTTGCAGCAGTTTCTCTCTCTTGCAACGATATGGATGGAGAGAGATGTATTTTTTTTTGCTTTATCGTTTTTTGGAGAGAGATGTATTATAACAATGTGAGAGAAGTGCATGTATGCATGTTAATAAATACACGAAGCATAATGCGGAGCAAATCAAATCGTTGTTGTGAAAAGTGAGCACGCACCTTCTACTGAAAATATTTTAAACATGTCAAAAGTTGATATAGATGGATTTAATATCCATAAAAATTTTGTTTGTAAGGAAATGGCAATCGTGAACGTGCACACAGGCTACGCTGCCCGCTACGAGTTTGAATTAGACGTCCAATACACAGCGATTTGAGCGATGCTGACAGGAAATCTGCATGGTATGTCTCGAGTTTTATACACGGGATTCCATTCAAAAATTTTTCCGGGCAAGATAATTATAAACAAAAACACATTGGAATGTTAGTTAAACTTTTCATTCGCGGTTTCAAGGATCCCGTAATCGCGTATAAGGGGGGTCATATTGAGAGGGGTTTATTGCGCGAAATTGGCGTACGGCATGTAAATTTAGAATCTTTTGGTTGCCCTAAATTCGAATCTTTAATCGCGGACCCGAAGTATGGGCCAATAGACCCACCATGCAGGCTTCATTGTTGGACGTTTAATACAACATCGAAGCGGAAGGCACCACAATACCACTGTGCCCTCAGTGAAGTGCGAATCTTTCGCAAATGGTACCTGCAAGGTAATTTTTTATTTTTTATTTTTTACAATAATTTTTCATTTCTATGGTGCCTTTTTTGTAGAAAGAGAGAGAGAAAACGTAAGCCTGCGTGCACTCCTCAGCGAGGTGCGAATCTTTCGCAAATGGTACCTGCAAGGTAATTTTTTTACTTTTTATTTTTTACAATTATTTTTCATTTCTATGGCGCCTTTTGCAGAAAGAGAGAGAGAGAGAGAGAGAGAGAGAGAGAGAGAGAGAAGACGTAAGCCTGTGCGAATCTTTTTTTGGTCGAGGTTACGTCCTCAGGGAAAAAATTATAACAACGTGTCGATCGGTGCTGATACGATGGATGAGAAGAGGTGTGTATAATAATTGTTATTTAAAAGATTAAAATTTATTTTTAATAATGATTATGTTTTTAATTAAAAGCANTTATCTTGCGAAGCGATATCGGGGATTTTGAAATAATATTGTAGAGAGCGAGAGAGATGGATGCATTGCAGTGGTTGTTCTCTCTCTTGCAAACGATGTGAATTTTCTCGCGCGTTGGGGAAGTGTTAGGCGCCATGCATATAGAAGTTTGTGGTTTTGTATCCGGAGAGGCTCTCGGATGCCTTACCCGGGGAAGTCGCTTGCGAAGCGATATCGAGGATTTTGATATAATATTGTAGAGAGCGAGAGAGAGGGATGCAGCGGTTGTTCTCTCTCTTGCAAACGAAGTGGAATTTTTCGCGCGTTGGGGAAGTGCTAGACGCGAGGCATCTATAGAAGTTTGTGGTTTTGTATCCGGAGAAACTCGCGGATGTTTTATCCGTAGAATTTGGTCTCATTAAGATTTATTAATGTAAGGTTTTTTATCTCGGTATAATATTGTAGAGAGCGAGAGAGAGGGATACGTTGTAGCAGTTTTTTCTCTTGCACCGCATTCTCTTTTGCAGCAGTTTCTCTCTCTTGCAACGATATGGATGGAGAGAGATGTATTTTTTTTTGCTTTATCGTTTTTTGGAGAGAGATGTATTATAACAATGTGAGAGAAGTGCATGTATGCATGTTAATAAATAGACGAAGCATAATGCGGAGCAAATCAAATCGTTGTTGTGTAAAGTGAGCACGCACCTTCTACTGAAAATATTTTAAACATGTCAAAAGTTGATATAGATGGATTTAATATCCATAAAAATTTTGTTTGTAAGGAAATGGCAATCGTGAACGTGCACACAGGCTACGCTGCCCGCTACGAGTTTGAATTAGACGTCCAATACACAGCGATTTGAGCGATGCTGACAGGAAATCTGCATGGTATGTCTCGAGTTTTATACACGGGATTCCATTCAAAAATTTTTCCGGGCAAGATAATTATAAACAAAAACACATTGGAATGTTAGTTAAACTTTTCATTCGCGGTTTCAAGGATCCCGTAATCGCGTATAAGGGGGGTCATATTGAGAGGGGTTTATTGCGCGAAATTGGCGTACGGCATGTAAATTTAGAATCTTTTGGTTGCCCTAAATTCGAATCTTTAATCGCGGACCCGAAGTATGGGCCAATAGACCCACCATGCAGGCTTCATTGTTGGACGTTTAATACAACATCGAAGCGGAAGGCACCACAATACCACTGTGCCCTCAGTGAAGTGCGAATCTTTCGCAAATGGTACCTGCAAGGTAATTTTTTATTTTTTATTTTTTACAATAATTTTTCATTTCTATGGTGCCTTTTTTGTAGAAAGAGAGAGAGAAAACGTAAGCCTGCGTGCACTCCTCAGCGAGGTGCGAATCTTTCGCAAATGGTACCTGCAAGGTAATTTTTTTACTTTTTATTTTTTACAATTATTTTTCATTTCTATGGCGCCTTTTGCAGAAAGAGAGAGAGAGAGAGAGAGAGAGAGAGAGAGAGAGAGAAGACGTAAGCCTGTGCGAATCTTTTTTTGGTCGAGGTTACGTCCTCAGGGAAAAAATTATAACAACGTGTCGATCGGTGCTGATACGATGGATGAGAAGAGGTGTGTATAATAATTGTTATTTAAAAGATTAAAATTTATTTTTAATAATGATTATGTTTTTAATTAAAAGCATCATCCTGAAGAGGAGGAGGAGGAGGAGGCTTACGATTGCCATCAACGGTTCAGTATTACTGTACCATCAGCGAGGTGTGCGTCTTTCAGAAGTGGTTCATGGAAGGTAACGTATTTTTTTTTTTTTTTTTTTTAGTTACTATTATTTTTTCATTTCTATGGTGCCTTTTTTGCAGAAAGAGAGGAGAAAAAAAGGAATGATGGATTATCGAAGTGAGGAGGATAGGCTCCGAAGCTTTGAATTTTGGCCTATCGAATTTATTTAGCCGGAGGAGCTTGCAGCCGCAGGATTTTATTATCTGGGGCAGGACGATTTTCTAGCATGTTTTGCATGCGACATCGAACTACATCGGTGGCAGTATAACGACAAAACCTATGTCGGCGAAGATTGTGGCAACATGCCGATCGGTGCTGATTCTACAACGATATCAGTACCACCATCACCAAGAAGCTGCGGCGTGGACGAGTGCGGTATCTACGATTATACCATGGATGAGAAGAGGTGTGTATAATAATTGTTATCTAGAAAATTAAAATTTATTTTTAATAATGATTATTTTTTTAAGAGCGTCATACTGAAGAGGAGGAGGAGGCTTGCGATTGCCATCAACGACGCATCGGCGAAAGAAGAGGAAGAAGAAGATTACTTTTATAAAAAAGTTTTTCATATTTTTTTTCGTATAAAAACATTGATGCTGGCCATATATTAAAATTTTAATAAAAAGTATTCAGGAAACATGTATTAATATACATTTTTTTTTAAATACCCACAATCCTTTCCAAATCTTCTTTAAAAATTATAGTTATTTCATATTGATTTAATTAGCTACTCGGTTAGCGGTTTGTTCAGGGGGGGAGGGGAGTGAAAGAGAGAGAGAACATTTTTTATGATAGGACATATATATTTTTCAAAATCATATTAGTTTACAATAGTATTTTTTTCATATCTATATAATTTTTCTAACAATGCTCGTCAACGGGTTGTACTCGACGATACAGTCGTGTATAATCAGGCAGTATGCAGCCGTCGAAGGTAGGACATCCTTTCGACATTCGAATTCAATTCGCGAACAATCGATGACGACGAACGGTCCATACATTAGAAAGTCGATTGTATTCAGCAACACATCGCCGTCGTTTCCATAATAGGATTCTTGAAATTTCGTGTACATATCGTAGAGCAACGCGTATTTATCCTTTTCGAAATCGATGTTTAAACCGTCGTAGGGATACATTTCCGAGTTCAAGTAAAGTCGAATATTGGATAAGAAGCACGAATCTAATTGGGTAGCGTTTTTCTTTAAATCGTTTTTCCTTTCGGTTTGTAACGCGAATATCACGTATCGCGGTTTTTCCATTTGCGGAGCCGTTTTTATCGCCCACGTTTGCTTCTTGGTTGTTTGTAGCATCGGATATTCGTACAGTTCCCACGAATATTTCGTACAGTTTCACGAATGTTCTCAAGAATACGCAGCATCGACAACTTGTGTATTTCATCCAAAGCGACGTGTGGCATTCTCCATTGAATTTTATACAAATCCAGGACAGGTTTCACATTGTCGGACCAGCTTCGTANCCGAGCATTTATTACAACGCGTTTGTAATCTTCGCAGAAGCCTAGCAATGTGTTCATAGGCACGCAAAAGTTGAAATTTCGAAAATTCGTAGGCATAACTCTTCAAGGTCGTCGTTGTACCGGGATTTCTGGACCGATCGATTTCC